CAAGTCATTTCTTGCCGGTTAGTAAAAGTTTCATGGACTTTTCTGCCCTCCATGGCTTCTAATCATGATCCTCAGATCTCAGCCCCCTGAGCTGCTAGGATTACAATTGTGATAGGATTACAAGTGTGAGCCACAAGCACTGGGCTCTGCAGACCCTTTTTAACACCCTGAATCACAGGGCCTCATGCATCTCCCAGAGCCCCAGAGTACGCATGTGGAGTATGTGTATGTGTGTGTGTTGTGGGGGGGAGGTGTCCGGTTGGGAGGAGGATCTGATTCCTGTTTCCTGCGCCTACTCACTCAGACCTGGGAGGTGACTGAGAGTGGAGGGGACTCAAGGGTGAGTGCTTGGGGCACCCCTGGCAGGATACCTAGGTTGGGGGGGCGGAATGAGGAAAGAAGTGAATGCAGGTCTGTGGGGTGGAAGGGGAGAATGGGAACCTTCGAAGGGGCAAAGGGTTGGGGAAGAGCTGGCTAGGTGATGAGGCTGCTGGGCTGCCTCGTTCTGTGGCTTCCTGACAGAGCTGGTCTCCAGTCCCTATCATCTCTTAAGAACCTAGGCCTGGAGGGCAGGGACTGATGTCTGAACGGAGGTTGGGGGCTTTCCCCTGCCTCATGTCCCAGCTCTGACCCTACACTCTTTGTGGTACTGCAGCCTCCTTCCCCACAAGAGGAAGAGAAGTCCAGGCAGATTCCTGGATCTCTTGGTCTTAGTCTCTGCTCTGTCCCCCTCCCTCACCTCCTTAGGCATCTCTCTCCACCAGAGCCTCTCTCTATGGCCAGACCTGGGGCTGGGCAGGGGATAGAGAATGGGGGACCAGAAGAGACCACGTTGGAGCCCTCCTGGGGTCAGAGAGGCTCCAGGAATCTTCATGGCAGGAAAAGGAGACTAAAAATAATCCGGAAAGGGAGAGTCCAGAGAGAGGAACTGGGAAATGGGAGGGGGGGTGGAAGTGGAGAGAAGAGGGCTGGTCAGAGCAGGGAAACAGTGATGCATCCCTTCCAGCCCTGGCTGGGGTGTGTGTGTGTGTGTGTGTGTGCGTGTGCGTGCGTGCATACACACACACACTCCACCCAGAGAACACAGAGCACACACACGCACACACACACACTCACAGTCCTACAGAGCACTAGATACAGCACACACCGAAGCCATACACCAACCCCACACCACACACATTTCACCAGGTGCGGGCAAGCCAAATCACCCTCATTGGGCTCACTGATTCTCTGCCCCGTTCTGGATCTCTGCCTAGCTAGTCCCAGCCTCACTGTCTTCTCTAGCTTGTGGACAAAACAGTTGAAAGACATAGAAATGGAGCTTGGACTTATAGCACACGCTTGTAATCCCATCATTTGAGGTCAGCTTGGGTTATATAGAGAGAACTTGTCTCAAAAAGAGAAAAATTGGGCTGGGAAGGTGCCTCAGTGGTAGAGTGCTTGCCTCGAATGCATCAGGCCCTGAGTTCGATTCCTCAGCACCACTTAAGTAGAAAAAGCGGAAGTGGTGCTGTGGCTCAAGTGGTAGAGTGCTAGCCTTAAGCTGAAGAGCTGAGGGACAGCGCCCAGACCCAGAGTTCAAGCCCCACAACTGACCAAAAAAAAAAAAAAATCATGTGGTATCGGTGGCTCACATCTGTAATCCTAGCTACCCAGGGCACTGAGATTTGAGGATCACAGTTCCTAGTCAGCCTGGGAAGGGGAATCCCTGAGATTATTGATCTCCAATTAACCATTGAAAAACCGGAAATGGAGGTATGACTCAAGTTGTAGAGCATTTGTCTTGAGTGGAAAAAGGTAAGGACAGCTCCCAGGACATAAGTTCAAGCCTCAGGACAGCACAAAGAAAGAGAGAGAAAGAGAGAGGGGGAAGGGGAAGGAAAAAAAAGAAGGGAAGGAAAAAGGGTGGGGAAAAAAAAAAAAAAAAAAGGGGGGGGGTGGGGAGAGAGATCCTAAAGGCTGCTAAGGAGGCTCTAGGGTTGAGAGGTAGAAGTCAGGAGGCAGAATTGGGAAGTATTTCAGATTTGGGGGAACTGAAGGGCTCTCTCTCCCCCAATCTCCTTAGGGGATGACTCACGAAGGACACCCCATTGCTTCAAAGAGCTCAGAGGAAGATGTCGGCCCAGTCCCTTCCTGCAGCAACACCCCCTACTCTGAAGCCCCCTCGGATTATCCGTCCTCGACCCCCTTCTCGGTCCCGAGCCCCTCATTCTCCAGGGCCTCCCCACAATGGCTCCTCTCCACAAGTGCTTCCCAGAAACTCTAGTGAGGCGCCAACCCCAATGTGCACCCCCATCTTCTGGGAGCCTCCAGTGGCATCCCTCAAGCCTCCTGCCCTCCTGCCTCCCTCAACATCGAGAACCAGCCTCGACTCCCAGACTTCACCCGACTCACCTTCCAGCACCCCAAGTCCAGTGTCCAGGCGTTCCATCTCTCCAGAACCTTCTCCTTGGTCTCCAGTCCCTCCACCCAAGCCCTCAGGGTCACCCCGCACACCTCTGCCCCAGCTCCCCTTACCCGGGGGCCTGACCCAGGATGGTCCTGCCTCTGCCCCAGGCACTGTGCGGAGACTGGCAGGGAAGTTTGAATGGGGGACTGAAGGTGGAGCCCAAACAGCAGACTCACTGGAACGGGGCTCCCAAGGGGGCGTGAATGTGAATGGGGAGAAAGAGGGTCCCCAAGATGGCCTTGCTGGACATGGGTCCCAAGAGAACGGCGCTTCAGGTATGTACTTGTGGGCCTGGCTCCTAATTGTTGTCAATGCTTGAAGAATGGAGCTTTTCTTTTTCCTTTTCTTTCTTTCTTTTCTTTTGTTGTGTGAGACTGGGATTCCAAATTGCTATCTGATTACTTGTTTTTGCTCATTGGTGGGTGCTCTACCCTCTGAGCCATGCAACCAACCAAACTGGGAGCTTTTTTTTCTTTTTGCCAGTCCTGGGACTTGAACTTAAGGCCTGGGCACTGTCCCTGAGCTTCTTTTGCTCAAGGCTAGCACTCTACCACTTCTGGCCTTTTCTGTTTAGGTGGTTATGGAGGAATAAAACCTAGGGCTTGCATGGTAAGCAAACTACCACTAAGCCACATTCTCAGTCCTTTGGGAGCTTTGCTAAAGTGGATTTTGTAGAAGTTGGAGCTGTTGTTCAAAGTGGTAGAGTCCTAGCCTTGAGAGAAAAAGGTAAGGGACAGTGCTCAGATCCTGAGTTCAAGCCTCGGTACTGGCAAAATAAATAAATAACTAAAAGGATTTTGTGTATGGGCATTCTTTAGATTCTGCATATCTGAGTGTTTGAAGGCAATCAGGATGGAGATCTGTAGATGCCCAGAACTGGACTTTAGGGTTGGAGAAAGCCTAAGCGGGGTTGAGACAGAGTCTTGATATGCTGCCTAGGCTTGGCCCAAACTCATGATCCTTCTGCTTCAGCCTCTTGCACAGACAGGTGCCATCATGATTAGCTTCAGCCCAGCTCATTAACAATACCATACCCTAGAGACCCCCTGGAGTACTGGCCATGCGTATCACCATTACCTTTTTCTGAAAATTTCCTGTCTGCCACAGATGCTGCACTGGCCTGCCCTCCTTGCTGTCCCTGTATGTGCCACCTAGCTCGGCCTGGCATGGAGCTCCGCTGGGTACCTGTGGGGGCCTCTGAGGATAGTCTCCGGACCCCCTGCCGGGCCTCCCCACTGCATTCCTCCCGGTCCCGCCCCAACCCTCCAAGTATCAGTCATCCTGCAGTGGTCCTCACCTCCTATCGCTCCACCGCCGAGCGCAAACTCCTGCCCCCCCTCAAGCCCCCCAAACCAACTCGGGTCAGACAGGATGCCAGCATCTCTGTGGACCCCCCACAGCCAGATGTCGATCTGCCGGCTGAAGATGGGATCCCAAAAGGTACCGAGTCTGAATGGGGGTGGAGGGGTGGGTGGCTCTGGGCTTGGAAGGGATGGGGTGGAGGTAGGTGTAACAGATTTAGCCAGCCAGGGTCCTGTGAGCTCTGTTAGCAGGAGTTAGTAGCAAGGTGTAGCAGCCAGATATAGTAGGGAGTTTATGTTGGGGCTGGGGTCAGGAGTCCAGGATCGGGGGTCCTGGAGGCTTGCTCTCATTGCTCTGGGTTCTCTTCAGGGGACAGGCCTGATGAAGCTCCTCAGAATGCTCCCTCTGCAGCCTTGGAGAGAAGGTACTAGACTGGCCACCCCACCCCACAGTATTGTCCTTTCCCACCCATTCCACCTGAGGGCAGACTAATCTTCAGCAGTACCAAGAAGGAGACTCCAGGGCTCTAGCATTTCCAATCTCAGATCTGTGCCTTCTGACTATGTCATCTCACATACATCTTTACCTTTTGGGGATTGCAGTGTCCTTGTCTAGGTAATGGCGATACTCATGGCCACTACTCCAGGGGGTCTGTGGGGTACGATATTGCTAATGAGATGGGCTTAAGCTAGTCATGATGGCATATGTCTGTGCTTCTGGCACATAAGAGGCTGAGGCAGAAGGATGGTGAGTTTGGGCCACGCCTGGACCATATATATCAAGATCCTGTCTCAAAAAATACAACAAGCAGCCAGGCGCCAGTGGTCATACCTGTAATCCTAACTACTACTCAGGAGGCTGAGATCTGAGGATTGTGGTTCAAAGCCAGCCCAGGCAGGAAAGTCCGTGAGACTCTGAGCTCCAATTATCCACCAGAAAACCGGAAGTGGCGCTGTGGCTCAAGTAGTAGAGCAATGGCCTTCAGCTGAATTGCTGAGGGACAGCACCCAGGCCCAGAGTTCAAGTCCCACGACTGACAAAACAAAACAAAAAGCAACAAGCAGGGTGCCAGTGGTTTGAGCTGTAATCTTAGGTATTCAGGAGGCTGAGATTTGAGGATCTGAGGATCACAGTTTGAAGCCAGCCCTGGCAGAAAAGTCTATGAGATATATCCCCAATTAACCAGCAAGAAACTGGAATTGTAGGTGTGGCTTAAGTGGTAGAGTGTCAGCCTTGAGTGTGAAAGCCAAGTGTGGAATATTAGCACAAGCAAACAAACCAATGAAGAGCTGACCACGAACCATTTTATTTATTCTTGTGCCTGTCCTGGGGTTTGAACTCAGAGCCTGGGCACTATCCCTGAGCTTGTTTTTGCTCAAGTAAAGCCCTGTACTACTTGAGCCACAGCTTCACTTCTCGTTTTTTAGTTTCTTAGAGATAAGAGGCTTATGGGCTTTTTCCACAGATCCATTTTAATTTCCTTCTCTCACCTTGGAATTATGAATGCAAATACAACTGGAAACCATGACCTTTTCTTTTGTTTTCTAGGCTTGTTAATCATCTTAGATTAGCCATGTTTATCAGAATCCTGGTAATCCTGATAAATCATTTATTTAGCCAACATTTGCTAGAGCCAAGGGTGGTGGTGGGGCTGGTGTGAGTTTGGATTTGACCTCTGTGTGTGTGTGTGTGGGGGGTGGTTGTGTGGCTTGAACTCAGAGCCTGGGTGCTAACCCTGAACCCTCTTGGTTCAAGGCTTGCATCGTACTATTTCGAGTCACAGTGCCACTTCTGGTTTTTAAGTGCTCAATTGTAGATAAGTCTCACAGGGACTTTTCCGCCTGGGCTGGCTTCGAATCTTGATCCTCAGATCTCAGCCTGGTGAGTAGCAGGATTATAGGCCTGAACCATATATGCCCAGCTGACCAATAAGCTTTCATGAAGGTACAAATAGGACCTTCTAGACAATGATTGCTATATGAGAAGGCTGGAATCAGAGACTGAGAATCTCTGGTATACAAGAGTTGAGTTGACAGAAATCACTGGGTCTCAGTTAGTTTAGGGCTTCCCCAAGAAATGAGGCATAAGAAAATCTGGAGTTTGATCTAGGAAGAGAGTCCCTGCATATACCATGTAAGTGTGTAAGTGTGTTGGGCTTCCATCTCTTTTGGTGTTATGTGAATAGTTCCCATGGAGTAGTCCAAAGTGGTGACCCCAGAGGCTCTCATAATTTTATTTTTGTGTGTATGTGTCAGTACTGGGGCTTGAACTCAAGGATTAGGTTCTGTCCCTGAGACTTTTTTTTTTGGTTGGTCATGGGACTTGAACTCTGGGCCTGGGCACTGAACCTGCGCTCTTCAGCTCAAGGCGAGTACTCTACTGCTTGAGCCACAGTACCACATCTGGTTTTCTGTTGGTTCATTGGAGGTAAGAGTCTCACAGATGTTTCTTCCCAGGCTGGCTTTGAACCGTGATCCTCAGATCTCAGCCTCCTGAGTAGCTAGGATTACAGGCGTGAGCCACCGGTACCCAGCTCCCTAAACCTTTTATACTGAAGGCTAGCGCTCTACTACTAGAGCCACAGCTCCATTTCTGCTTTGTAGTGGCTAACTGGAGATAAGTGTCTCACAGATTTTCCTGCCTGGGCAGGCTTTGAATTGCAGTCCTCAGATCTCAGCCTCCTGAGTAGCTAGGATTAAAGGTGTGAACCACTGGTGCCCTGCTCCAGGCCTTTCTTTTTATGTGTGCGTATGCCAGTCCTGGGACTTGAACTCAGGTTCTGGGTGCTGTCCTTTAGCTTTTCTGTTGAAGGTTGATACTCAAGACCACTTGAGCCACAACTCTACTTTGATTTTCTGGTGCTTAATCAGAGATAAGAGTCTCACTGACTTTCCTGTCTAGGCTGGCTTTGAACCACAGTCCTCAGAGATCATCCTTCTGAGTAGCTAAGATTAAAGCTGTGAGCCACCAGCACCAAACTGCCTTTCCTTTCTTTCTCCATAGAGAGGAAGAGGGGCTGGAGGAGCTGGAGGGGCTGAAGGAGCAGAATTGGGAGCTGCCGCTACAGGATGGTGAGCCCCTGGGGCTGCCCTTGTGGCCATCAAAGCAGCGGGAGGGGGTGGGGGAAGGTTTCTAGACTTCCCTGATGTGCTCTGCCTGCCTTCCAGAACCCCTGTATCAGACATACCGGGCAGCTGTGCTATCAGAGGAGCTGTGGGGTGTTGGTGAGGATGGGAACCCCTCTCCAGCGAATCCTGGGGAAGCTCCCACCTTTGCAAGACTCCCCGGGCCTCGCAATACCCTATGGCAGGAGCTGCCAGCTGTGAGAGCCAGTGGCCTCTTGGAGACACTCAGCCCCCAAGAGAGGCGCATGCAGGAGGTAGGCACATCTGGATGGCACTGGACAGACTGATAGAGGAACGTTGTGTGAAGACCTCCCTCCCAAACCTGAATGTGGCCACCCTTTCTTCCACAACCCTGCCCTTCTTCCTAGAGCCTGTTTGAGGTAGTGACATCGGAAGCCTCCTACCTGCGTTCTCTGCGGCTGCTCACTGACACCTTTGTGCTGAGCCAGGCACTCCGGGACACGCTCACCCCTCGTGATCACCACACGCTCTTCTCCAATGTACAGCGAGTCCAGGGCGTCAGCGAGCGGTCAGTGGGGGGAGGGCAGTGGGGGTCCTTCCAGAATAGGATGAGAACGTCTCAGTTGAGCCAGGCCTTTCCTTTTTTTTTTTTGGGGGGTCCAGTTGTGGGACCTGAACTCTGGGCCTGGGCACTGTCCCTCAGCTCTTCAGCTCAAGGCTAGCACTCTACCACTTGAGCCACAGCGCCACTTCCGGCCTTTTTCTTTATTGCTTATGTGGTGCTGAGGAATCGAACCCAGGGCCTGAGGCATGCAAGGCAAGCGCTCTACCACTGAGCCACCTTCCCAGCCCCCAGCCAGGCCTTTCCTTGCATACACAGTTCCTAGTGCTCATCTCAACAACCCCCACCCATGGCTTGCTTTTCCCATCCCTTCAGGTTTCTAGGCACGCTACTGTCCCGCGTACGCTCTTCCCCCCACATCAGCGACCTGTGTGACGTGGTGCATGCCCATGCAGTGGGTCCTTTCTCTGTGTATGTGGATTATGTGAGGAACCAGCAGTATCAGGAGGAGACCTACAGCCGTCTCATGTGAGTCCAGGGGCTCCCCAATTCCATGGGAATTGGGGGTGTCACAAGACCCCATCTGGATGGTGCTATATAGTGTATATATACATACACATACACACATACACACTATGTTTTTCCTATATATAATATACCTTTAACTTAGGCACAGTAAAAGGTTAACAGTAACTAATAATAAAATAGAAAAATTACACTGGCTGCTAATGACTTAGAGCTATAATCCTACATACTCAAGAGGCTGAAATCTGAGGATTATAGTTGGAAACCAGCCTGGGCAGAAGAGTCCTTTTCCAATGAACCAGCAAAATGCTGGAAGTAGCTCAAGTAGAAGAGTGCCAGATTTTGAGTAAAAAAGCTAATGGAGCTGGGTGCAGGTGGCTCACACCTGTAATCCTAGCTGTACAGGAGGCTGAGATCTGAGTATCACGGTTCAAAGTCAGACCAGGCAGAAAAGTTTGTGAAATGCTTATTCCAATTAAGCACCAGAAAACTGGAAATGGAGCTGTGGCTCAAGTGGTAGAAAGTTAGCCTTAAGTGAAAGAGCTCAGGGACAGCACTCAGGCTCTGAGTTCAAGCCCTGCAAATGACAAAAGAAAAAAAAAGCTCATGGAGAGTTCCCTGGAACTGAGTTCAAGTCCCACTACTGGCAGGGGAAAAAAGACAAATAAATTATAGCAATATAATACAATAGAATTGTCAGTATCACAATTCTTGAGCTATTATTGTTATTATTATTGTTGTTGTTGTTATTTTTAATTTTTTGTCGGTCGTGGGGCTTGAACTCTGGGCTTGGGTACTGTCCCTGAGCTCTTCAGCTCAAGGCTTGTACTCTACCGCTTGAGTCACAGTGCTACTTCTGGTTTTCTAGTAGTTTTTTTTTTTTTTTTGCATTTATTGGGCAACTTCTTTTGGTCTGCGACTTGGGCTGTAACCTTCTTAATCCCCTAAGATCGCTGCCACAGTCTCCTTGCTGTCTCTGGGCACATTGTCTGTAGCTGCCTGCTTCCCAAGGAGTGGCGGTTAGCATGCTAACCATGGCACTGCCTTTTTCCCTTTCATTGGATGGTGTAGCGTTGAAGTGGCCACATTGCATGGTGAAGCCCTGGTGTACCATCAGACCTCAGCTCAGACACACAGCCCTGCAGTCCAGCTTTCTTTTTTTTTTTTTTTAAGGTGACATTTTTTTTTTATTCTATTTTATTTGTGAACATACTGTACAGAGGGGTTACAATTGCATGGGCAGGATAATGCGTACATTTCTTACCAAGCATTGCAGCCTCCTCCTTTGTTTACCCTTCCCATCCCTTCCCAGCCTCCCCCCTCCCCCCATCCCAATCCTTCTCCTTCCCCCCTCCCTCCCCCCCCTAGTAGTTTTATTGGAGATAAGAGTCTCACAGACTTTCCTGCCCAGGCTGGCTTTGAACCGTGATCCTCAGACCTCAGCCTCCTGAGTAGCTAGGATTACAGGTGTGATCCACCAGCACTTGGCACCCATTATTATTATTATTATTAATCAGTTGTGAGGCATGAACTCTGGGCCTGGGTGCTGTCCCTCAGCTCTTAATTAAACTCAAGGCTACTTGAACCACAGCACCACTTCCAGCTTTTTTTGATTATGTGGTGCTGAGGAATCAAACCCAGGGCCTCATGCATGCAACACTAGCACTCTACCACTGGGCCACCTTTCCAACCTTTAGGCCCATTATTAAGTAAAATAAGGATTACTTGAACACAAGCACTATGATGCTAACACAGTAAATCTGACACCTGGGAAAATAGTAAATAGTAGGTAGATAATGAATACAACATGGATACACTGGCCAAAGGCAAGGTTCACATCTCACATCCCGGATCAGATGGAGTGAAGTGGTTTAAAATTTCATCATTACATTACCCAAAATAATGGTCCACTTAAAACGTATGAATTGTTTATTTCTGGATTCTTTTTCTTTTGCCAGTCCTGGGGCTTGAACTCAGGGTCCGGGCACTGTCCCTGAGCTTTTTTGCTCAAGGCTAGAGCTTTACTACTTGAGCTAGAGTTCCACTTCTAGCTTTTTGGTGGTTAATTGGAGATAAAACGCTCACAGACTTTCCTACCTGGACTGGCTTTAAACTGTGATTCTTAGATCTCAGCCTGTTGAATAGCTAGTATTACAGGCATGAGCCACTAGTGCCTAGCTTATTTCTGGAATGTTCTATTAAATATGTCTGGACTGGTATTCATTTGGGGTAACTGAAAGGGTGAGAAGCATGGTTGGTGGGGGGGGGGCACAGCTGTATCCCAGAGGTATGGGAGGAAGCCGGGGAGGAGAGTCGGGGTAGCCAGCTGGGTTTGCTTCTGCAGGGACACAAATGTGCGCTTTTCTGCGGAGCTGCGGCGTCTGCAGAGCCTGCCCAAGTGTGAGCGGCTCCCGCTGCCATCCTTCCTGCTGCTGCCCTTCCAGCGGATCACCAGGCTCCGCATGCTGCTGCAGGTACCACCGGCCAGGAAGCCTGTTCTTCCCCACCAGCCCCAAAGGAGAACTCACCCCCAGGCCCCACCATGACCACAGGAATCCTCCAAACCCTGAGTTACAATCTGGGCCTCTCCATCTAGGACCTGCCCTGCCCTACATAGAAGTCTCCAGTGCCTAAGGGGACAGGAAAGGAACCTCTAGCTGGAGATTAGTGTTCTAAACTTCCCTCTTGATCTCTAGCAGATCTTACCTCCAAAGGGGCAGATACTGGTTCTTTGAGGAATGAAAAACAAAATACAACCTTAGCTATTCCACTGGTTGGAGAAGGCTAAAATGCTATGGTGGAGAAGCAAAGTTACTGTGTCTATTTGTACAATTAGAATTTCATGGGAGAACCGCAGGATGTAGCCTAGTGGTAGAGTACTGCCCAGCAGCTGCATGACCTTGGGTTCAGTCTCTAGTATTTCTAAACAAATGAACAAACAAAATCACATCCAGAAAAGGTATGTTTGGGGTAATACTGGGAAACAAATGGTTGAGAATCTCTCCTTTATTATAAAATATGACTCTTTCCTAACCAGCTCACCCAGCATGGGGATTTTAATGTGAAAAATTCCCAACTAGGGGCTGGGAAGGTGGCTCAGTGGTAGAGCGCTTGCCTTGCATGCCTGAGGCCCTGGGTTCGATTCCCCAGCACCACATAAGCAAAAAGAAGAAAAGCCGGAAGTGGCACTGTGGCTCAAGTGGTAGAGCGCTAGCCTTGAGCTGAAGAGCTGAAGGACAGCGCCCAGGCCCAGAGTTCAGGCCCCACGACCGGACCCCCCCCCCAAAAAAAAATTCCCAACTATTCAACTATTCTTTTTTTTTTGGTCAGTCATGGGGCTTGAACTCTGGGCCTGGGTGCTGCCTCTGTGCTCTTCAGCTCAAGGTGAGCACTCTACCACTTGAGCCACAGCGCCACTTCCAGTTTTCTAGTGGTTTATTAGAGATAAGAGTCTCACGGATTTTCATGCCTGGGCTGGCTTTGAACCATGATCCTCAGATCTCAGACTCCTGAGTAGCCAGGATTACAGGTATGAGCCACTAGTGCCCTGCTCCAACTATTCTTTCCTTCCCTCCCTCCCTTTCTCCCTCCCTCCCTCCATCTTTTCCTTCCTTCCTTCCTCTCTCATTCATTTGTTTGCTCTTTTTGTGTGTGTGTGGTACTGGAATTTGAACTCAGGGCTTTTTTATTGCCAGGCAGTTGTACCACTGGAACCATGACTTGTCTTTTTTTTTCTTTTTTCTTTTGCTAGTTTTCCAATAGGATTTTACATTTTGCCTGGCCAGTCTGGATTCTGATCTCCTATTTATGCTTCTCATATAGTTGGGATGACAGGTGTCCACATGGCACCCAGTTTTTTGCTGGTTGAGATGGGGGTCTGACACACACACAGATATATAGAGATAGGTAGATAGGTAGGTAGGTAGGTAGATAGATAGGTAGGTAGGTAGGTAGGTAGGTAGATAGATAGATAGACAGACAAACAAGGTCTTGCCTTGAGCTTCAGTCCTCCTGTCTGAGCTGTCTGAGTATTATAATAACAAGCATGGAGGCTCAAGAAGTTATGCAGTTGGTCTGTGGTGAAATCTCTTGACTCTGTTGAAACTAATCCCTCAGTTCTGTGAACCCCAAAGACAGCATCTCTCCCAAGCCAGGCTGGGTCCGCTGAGCAGGGGGAGGGTGGGGGAGGACGTGAGTTATACCTTCTGTTTTGCTCCCAGAATATCCTGCGCCAGACAGAGGAGGGATCCAATCGGCATGAGAACGCCCAGAAAGCCCTGGGTGCTGTCAGTAAGGTGGGTGGGCAGGAAGAGGTGTGGAGGCGGGGGGAGGTGAGCAAGTGGGTTAGGGAGAAATGGAGTGGGTGCTGGGTGCTGAGTTGTCTCCCCTCCCAGATCATTGAGCGGTGTAGTGCCGAGGTGGGCCGCATGAAGCAGACTGAAGAGCTCATCCGACTCACCCAACGGCTGCGCTTCCACAAAGTCAAGGTTTGTCTCTGTCCAGATGTGCCCTCCTCCAGATGTGCCCCCCACCCCCCCATCCTGCGCTCCCCTTGGTGTGCCAAAGCCACACTCTTCCCTGCATCTTCTTAGGCTCTGCCGCTGGTCTCCTGGTCACGCCGCCTGGAATTGCAGGGAGAACTGACCGAATTAGGGGGCCGCAGGGGGGGTGTGCTCTTCACCTCCCGCCCTCGCTTTACCCCCCTCTGCCTGCTGCTTTTCAGTGACCTGCTGCTCATCACTCAGCCCAAGAGGTAGGTCCTGCAGGGAGGAGAGGACTCCAGGCTGGGGTGGAGAGGAGGAATCTGGCAGGACCCCACGCTCTTGTCTGAATGCCCTCTTTCCCCCGGGCAGTGGGCAGCGGCTGCAGGTTCTGGACTATGCCCATCGCTCCCTGGTGCAGGCTCAGCAGGTTCCAGACCCATCTGGACCCCCTACATTCCGCCTTTCCCTTCTCAGCAACCACCAGGGCCGGCCTACCCACAGGCTACTCCAAGCCTCTTCCCTGTGAGTCATGTCTTCAGACGTGTGTGTGTGTGTGTGTGTGTGTGTGTGTGCATGCATGTGTGCGCACGCAAGTGCATGTGCGTGCTTTTGTGCACATGTGTGCCAGTACTGGGGCTGGAACTCAAGGTTCCAATTCTTGCTTGGCTTTTTCATTCAAGACTGGTGCTCGATTATTTGACCCATAGCTCCAGTTCTGGTATTGTGGGCCCTTAATTGGAGATAAGAGTCTCACAGACTTTCCAGCTGGAGTTGGCTTTGAATAACAATTCTTAGATCCCAGCCTCCTGAGTAGCTAGGATTATAGGTCTGAAGGCTTGAGCTACAGGCGCCCAGCTTTTTCTTTTGCTGATTAGAGTATTGAACTTATGAGTTTTTTGTTTTTGTTTTGCTGGTCCTGAGGCTTGAACTCAGGGCCTGAGCACTGTCCCTGATCTCCTTTTGCTCAAGGTTAGTTCTACCACTTTGAGCTACAGCTCCACTTCTGGTTTTCTGGTGGTTAATTGGAGAGACGAGTCTCACAGATTTTCTTTTCAGGGCTGGCTTTGATCTGCGATTCTCAGATCTCAGCCTCGTGGGTAAGTAACTAGGATTACAGGTGTGAGCCACCAGCATGTGGCTTGAGATTTATTTATTTATTTATGTTGTTGGTCATGGGGGCTGAACTCTGGGCCTGGGCGCTGCCCCTCAGCTCTTCAGCTCAAGGCTAGCGCTCTACCACTTGAGCCACAGCACTACTTCTGGCTTTTTCTGCTTATGTGGTGCTGAGGAATCAAGTCCAGAGCCTCATGCATGCAAGGCAAGCACTCTCCCACTGAGCCACCTTCCCAGCCCATTTTATTTCTTGATTCAAAGCTGGCAGGCACTTTACCACTTGAGCCACATGTCTTTCTGGCTTTTTGTTGATTAACTGGAGATAAGAGTCTCTCGAAGTCATCTTTCTGTGTGTGTGTTTGTGTATTTGTGTGCATGTGTGTGTACTGGGCCTGGGCTTGAGCTCTAGGCCTGGGCTTTGTTCCTGGGCATTTGTGCTCTTACCACTTGAGCTCCATTTCTGTCTCTTTTTATAGTTTATTGGAGAGTTAAGAGTCTCATAGACTTTCCTGCCCTGGCTGGCTTCAAACTGAGATTCTGATATCAGCTGAAGTTTTCTTTCTGGGCTGACTCTGAATCTTGTTTCTTAGATCCCAGCCTCCTGTGCAACTAGGTTTATAGGTATGAGCCACCGGTGCCTGGTTTCAGGAGTGGAGTTCTTACTTAGCCTGCATAAGGTCTTAAGTTCCTAACCTAGCATGGCAAAATAAATAAAAACAAGACAGGCATAGTAGTGCACACCTGTAAAAGCAGCACTCAAGAGGCTGGGATGCTAGGCGCCAGTGGCTCACGTCTAGCTACTCAGGAGGCTAAGATCTGAGGATCATGGTTCAAAGCCAGCCCGGTCAGGGAAGTGCATGAGACTCTTATCTCCAATAAACCACGCAGAAAACCGGAAGTGGTGCTGTGGCTCAAGTGGTAGAGTGCTTGCCTTGAACTGAAGAGCTGAGGGACAGTGCCCAGGCCCAGAGTTCAAGCCCCATGACCACCACCACCAACAACAACAAAAAAAGAGGCTGGGATGGAAGGATTACATGTTTAAGACCAACTTGGGCTACTTAGAGAGACTCTGTCCCCCCAAAATAAAACAACAATAACAACAAAAACTCAGCTAGGCACTGATGGTTCACACTTGTAATCCTAGCTACTCAGGAGGCTGAGATCTGAGGATTGCAATTTGAAGCCAGCCTGAGCAGAAAAGTTCATGAGACTCTTATCTCCAATTAACTACCAGAAAATTGGAAGTGGTGCTGTGGCTCAAAGTGGTAGAGTGTTAGCTTTGAGCAAAAAAGCTCAGGGATAGCACCATGGGCCCTAGTTCTAGTCCTAAGACCAAAACAACAGCAACAACAACAATAACAACAACAACAAAAACCCAAAGACAGAAACCACCTTGGGACCTTTCTCTAACCTCTCAGATCCCTCCTCCCCTTTCCCTTCTCTCTCCTCCATGGCCTCTGCCTCACTCACTCCCATGGAGGATAGCTTGGGCCAACTGTGCCCCTGTCTTTATTGCCACCAGATCAGACATGCAGCGCTGGCTGGGAGCCTTCCCCACCCCGGGACCCCTTCCCTGCTCCCCAGACACCATCTATGAGGACTGTGGTAAGTGTCAAAGAAGGAAAGGGGGCAGCAAGAGTGAATCCTAAGAGGAATAGGAGGAGAAGCTGAGAAGACTGAATCCTACTGTAATGTCACTGGTCCCCTTCCAGAGTGTTCCCAGGAGCTGTGTTCAGAGCCATCGACACCTTCCAAGACTGAGGGGCGTGTTCTGGAGTCCAGGGCTCCTCCCAAGCATCTGCACAAGAGCCCAGAAGGTAAGAGAATCTCCTTCCTTCCTTGCTTCCTTGCTTCCTTGCTTCCTTGCTTCCTTCCTTCCTTCCTTCCGTCTGTTGTGGTGCTTTAACTTGGGGTCCTGGATACTGTCCTTGAGCTCTTTTGCTCAAGAATAGTGCTCTAGCTGAGTGCCAGTGGCTCATGCCTGTAATCCTAGCTGCTCAGAAGGCTGAGATCTGAGGATCATGGTTCATAGCCAGCCTGGGCAGGAAAGTCTGTGAGCCTCTGATCTCCAGTTAACCACCAGAAAAACAAAAGTGGTCTGTAGCTCAAGTGGTAGAGTGCTTACCTTGAGCTGAAGAATAGAGGGACAGCGCCCAAGCCCAGAGTCCAAGCCCCACAACTGACAAAAAAAAGAAAAGAAAGAAAGACGAAAGACAAAAGAAAAAAGAATAGTTCTCTACCACCTTGAGCCACAGGTCCACTTTTGACTTTTTTGGTAGTTAATTGGGGATGAGTCTCACAGACTTCCTTGCCTTTGCTGGCCTAAAACTTTGATTCTCAAATCTCAGCCTCCTGAATGGCTGGGATTACAGGCATAAGCCACCTGTGCTCAGCTTGCTGCTGCTTTTTCTACCAGGTGTCTTTATTATTTCCCTTACCCACCATGATCCCCAAGGTCTGAGACCCCAGGGGGGAACCTGCTTTCCCTCTTCTCTTGACCTGTGCCCCCACCCACCCTATTTGTGTGGCTATCTCTCTTTCCCCAGGGTGGCTGAAGGGGCTTCCTGGGGCCTTCCCAGCCCAGTTGGTATGTGAAGTCACTGGGGAACAGGAAAGGAGGAAGCATCTTCGTCAGCACCAGAGGCTTCTTGAGACTGTGGGACCCTCTTCAAGCACCCCCAGCTCCCCATCAACCTAATGCAGGCTGAAGATGCTGGTAGTGCTTTGCAAAGAAGATACAACCCATCATCCAGTCACCCGACCATCCATCCGTCTTGTAGGATTCATTGTCAGTGGAAACACTACCTCTAGTGGCAACCCTGAGTTTCAGGACTGAGCAGACAATGAAGGCCATCTGACCCTACACAATAGGAAAAATAAGAATGGCTTGGATGTGTTGCCAATCTAGACAAAGGCTTAGTATAGCACTGAGTGAGTTGGCTGAACCTTTGGCCAAGGAGTATTCTTATGTGCTCACAGCCAAGGAAGATGAAGCTGAATCAATGAATTGAGAAAGGGCTATGTTGGAGAAATAGCCCTATCATCCAGAAGAATGGAGAGAGCCATCCAGCCAAAGAAGATGGTGATCTGGGCTCAAATGCCCAATAGCCACTACTTGGTTCTGGCCCCATGCTTTGAGTCTGAGAAGTACTTCCTGTGCCCTCTCAAGACACTTCTCTTCTAGAAGAATCTAGAACGTGCATCTCAGAGAATCTGTGTGTGCCTGTGCTTGTATGCAGCTGTGTATATATGAATCAGGGAAGGCAATTCTGTTGAGCATGATGTATGTGTGGTGGCTTACCCTTTCCTGTGATTAAATGCCTTATTTCTTCTCTCAACCCTGCATTTTCCTGTTCTTCTCTCCAAGAAAAACATCAAATCTGTGCTCCAAAAGTGGGCTGGGTATAGCTTGATAGTTAGTAGCCAGGGCTGGAGATGAGTGAGGGCCTTGGATTTGGGTGTCTTGGAGGCCATGGGTCCATGATGGTTGAAGGATGATGTTATAAAGCCTTCAAGAGGCCTGGCAGAGGGGGTTGAGGTACACAAGGTGGCTAGTAGATGGGGCTCCAGACCTCCGAAGCCTACAGGCTCTTCTCCTTCCCCCAAACATTGGCTCCATAATGCATGTCTGCATATCTGCCACCTGCCATCAGTCAGCCAACCTCAATTGCAAGCTGCAAGATGAGCCAGATTCTGGGTTTGGATGGAAAAAATAAGAGGTGTAGATCACAGATTGGCTAGCCAGTACCAGGGTCCTCCCTTTAACCTTCCCCTGTCCCAGAAACATAGAGCTCAATGGGAGAGAGAGCAAAGAACTGATGGGGCTGTGGCAGACCCAATCAGAGTGTCAGAGAATGGCCTCATGTGATTTCAGAGGCTGGAGATAGGGGAACAGAGAGTTGCTGGAGAGCGGGGCACCCACACCTGGCCTGGGACAAGGCTTTCTCTGCAAGAGGCCATCAACCTACTACTCTGTACTGTATGTGTGGCAACTTGCCCAGGACAGAAACTGCCATGACAACAACAGGAGGTAGAGAGACTCTGGAGACTCAGAGAGAGAGAGAAGGGCACTGGCATTTGGCAATTCCACAATGTTGGAGATGCTCCTAACAAAGTGTATGGCAAATGGGAAACTTAATAAATGTTAGTGGAAGCTGGGTGCCAATGGCTCATGCCTGTAATCCTAGTTACTCAGGAGGCTGAGATATGAGGATTGCGATTCAAAAGGTGCTCAAGGCTGGTGCTCTACCGCTTTGAACCACAGTCCCACTTCTGGTTTTCTGGTGGTTAATTGGAGAAAGAGTCTTATGGACTTTCCTATCCAGGCTGACTTTGAACCATGATGCTAAGATCTCAACATCTTGAATAGGATTATAAGCATGGCCTACCGGCATCCTGATCTAGGCAGGTTACACTCTTCTGAGAGACCATCAGTCTCTCCCTCTCTCTCTCTCTCTCTCTCTCTGGGCCACTTTTCCTTTTCCTTTTATTTTGTGGCCATACTGGGGCTTGAACTCAGGGCCTTGGTGCTGCCCTTTAATGTGTGTGCACGTGTGCGTATACATGTACACACATGCACGCCCGTGCTGGTTCTGAGGCTTGAACTCAGGGCCTGGGCACTGTTCTGAGCTTTTGTGCTCAAGGCTGATGCTCTACCACTTGAGCCACAGTTCCACTTCTAATAAAGATTTATTTTGGTTCATGTTTTTTGTCCTTGGTACTTGGCCTTTGGGCCTGCCACTAGGTAGTACATGATGGCAGGGAACAAATGATAGAGGAAGATTGCTCACCTCATGGTGGATGGGAAGCAAAAAAGAAAAAGAGGAATTGGGGCATTCCTTAAGTTTTTTTTTTGCCAGTCCTAGGGCTTGAACTCAGGGCCTGGGTGCTGTCCCTAAGCTTCTTGGTGCTCAAAGCTAGCACGCTACCATTTGAGCCACAGTGCCACTTCTGGCTTTTTTTTTTTTTTTTTGAGTAGTTTGTTGTATATAAGAGTCTAGTGGGAACTTTTCTGCTTGTACTGACTTTGAACCATGATCCTCAGATCTCAGCCTCCTGAGTAACTGGGGTTACAGGCATGACTCATGACCCCTCAGATATTTTTTAAGTGTTAGAAAGATGACAACACAGTCAGGATTCTGGTTATCAGCAGAAACTGGTATTTCTGGAGAGCATAGTGGGTTTTATAAAGAATCATTGAGAAAGCTGATGAGTGAGATTTACAAATCAAGCAGAAGTAAGGTTTTATAAGTGAACTAAGAGCTGGGCACCGGTGGTTGTAATCCTAGTTACTCAGGTGGCTGAGATCTGAGGATCTCCATTCAAAGCCAACCTGGGCAAGAAAGTCCGTGAGACTTTTATATCCAATTAACTACTCAGAAAAAGCCAGCAGTGTCCTTGTGGCTTAAGTGGTAGAGCACTAGCCTTGAGCAAAAAAGCTCAGGGGCATCCAGGCCTTGAGTTCAAGCCCCAGCTGGTGGGGGGGGGCAATGGGGGGAAAGTAGCTAAGGTACCTCCAAATGCACCTGCAGCACTGGTCCAGAAACCACATACTGGTGCAACAACCCAGTCCTGGCTATCAGGATGACAGGACAATCCCCTCCAATACATCCAGGGTTATCCACAGCTGATATGGCTATGGGTGCTACGCATTCCACTACTCCTGGCTCTGTACCATAGCCTCTATAAAATGCTTCTTTATTGTCCTTTATTGTCTTTATTGTCCACTGGCTCTGGAGATAATGGCCAGGGACATTGTATCTAGCTGATCCTACATTATGTACTTGCTCTCATTTGCAGGTTGAGAAAGTAGACTTTTCTTTCTTCCCTTCCTTTCCCTTCCTTTCTCTTCTTTTCCCTTCCTTTCCCTCCCTCCCTCCCTTCCTGCCTTCCTGCCTTCCTCTTGGTGCCAGTACTGGGGCTTGAGCTCAGAACCTCACATTCTCACGTAGATTTTTACTGAAGTCTGGGACTCTACAACTGAGCTACACCTTTACTTCAACTTTTTTTGCTGGTTATTTGGAGGTAAGAGTCTACAGAATTTTATTTTTTGGGGAGTTGGTCATGGGGCTTGAACTCTGGGCCTGGGTGCTGTCCCTGAGCTATTTGGCTCAAGGCTAGCACTCTACCACTTGAGCCTCAGCACCACTTCCAGTTTTCTGAGTGGTTTATTGGAGAGCAGAGTCTCATGGACTTTCCTACCCAGAATGGCTTTGAATCTCGATCCTCAGATCTCAGCCTCCTGAGTAGCTAGGTTTACAGGTGTGAGTTTCATGAAAGTCCATGAAACTCTTATCTCCAATAAACCACTAGAAAACCGGAAGTGGCGCTATAGCTCAAGTGGTAGAGTTTCATGGACTTTCCTGCCCAAGCTTTGAACTGCAATCCTCAGATCTCAGCCTCCCGAGTAGCTAGGATTACAGGCCTGAGCCACCCGCACCTGGCTCAAATATTTCTTTTGGAAGATTGACCCTCCCACAATGAGTTCTCAGAGCTTTTTCACTCAAGGCCAGTGCTCTGCCACTTGAGCCACAGCTCTACTTTCAGCTTTTTCTTTTTTTGGTTATTTGGAGATGAAGAGTCTCATGAACTTTCTTGCTCACCTGGCTTTGAACCTCTATCCTCAGATACAGGTGTGAGCCATGGGCACCTGACTTAAAGCCTTATATCTTGTAATAATCATTCCTTTTCATTTACATATGAGACGGTTTTTAGACTTCAGTGGCTAAACTGAGTAGTTGTAATAGAGATTGGCTTACCAAGCCTAAAGTAGCTGGGCACTGGTGGCTCACACCTGTAATACTAGCTACTCAAGAGGCTGAGATCTGAGGATCACAGTTTGAAGCCAGCCCAGGCACCAAAGTCCAAGAGACTCTTATCTCCAATATTGAGCACTGTGCCTTGAGCAAAAGCTCTGGGAGAACACCTAGGCCTTGAATTCTAGTCCTAGGAACTGGAGGGAAAAAGCCTAAAGTATTGGTTATCTGGCCTTTCACACACACAAAAAAAAGTTTGTCAGTTTCCTGCTACAGGACAGAGCTATGCCAGCCTGAGGCAAGGAAGCCAGGAAATTTATTCACCAACTTCTTCCACCTTCCAGCTATCTATTCTAGGCTTTTGCTTGGGCCATGCCAAGGCTGCTATGTTTACTCTTGATATTATTATTGAGTCTTCCGCTCTTTGTTCATCTGATGATGCTGAATTGAATCTCAGCGATCACTATTTACTTTACATATTGTGACACCATGTAAATATCTTCCATTACTGAGCTGATAATCTCCAGGATTACATTTCCTTTCTTGAACTATTTCCAGTTACCTTTGGAAACAATATTTGATACCTTTTCAGAATGCATGAAATCTGTTCTGTATAAAAGAATCTGTGTATGATCTATCTGCTGTACTTACTACCTAACCCAAGAACTGGATTAATACTAATTATGTGTGCTGGGGGGCTTACCATGCCCCGCTCCTCTCTTCCCAGCATACAATATAGTGTTTATTATTCCACTGAAAAAAAAAAGCCATGTAGACAGCTCCACTTATAACTCTAGCTACTCAGGAGGCTGTGATCTGAAGATCATGATTCAAACCAGCCCAGACAATTACCTCCAATTAACCATCAAAAAACCAAAAGTGGAGCTAATGGACAATATTTAGTCCCTGAGTTCAAGCCCCGGTCCTGTCATTTTTAAAAAAAGCAAAAAAGGGCTGGGAAGGTGGCTTAGTGGTAGAGCGCTTGCCTTGCATACCTGAGGCCCTGGGTTCGATTCCTCAGCACCACATAAGCAAAAAGAAAAAAGCCAGAAGTGGCGCTGTGGCTCAAGTGGTAGAGCGCCAGCCTTGA